TGCTGCTGCTGCTGCTACTGCTGCTGCTGCAGTGCCGCCGGAAGAGAGTCGTTCAGATGAAAGGCAACAACGAGCTGGAGTCGAGATTGGCTCGGTTCAGGGTCCAGTCCCAGCCAAGTTTTGCCGCGCTAGGCGCGCCAGCTGGTTGTCTTTCCGCTGGCTTGGATCCGACCCTTGCTCGTCCCTCACTTGCCCTGTCGCAGTCGCAGCCGGCCTCCTTGTTTCAGGGCATCCGGGCTCGCGGTCTTGCAAGCGACGCGCGAGTCGAAGCGGGCTTTTCGACCACCGCCAAGCCTAGGCCAAACCTAGGGCGGCGCGCGCGCGCGACAAAAGCGCACCTGAAATTTCTGCTCGGCGTGTCTTCCAGGGATGGAATTCCAGGCTTCGGTCGTGCCGAAGATTCTCCCACACTTCAGCACTCCGCTTTCTTGTTCTACCCGCAAAGCCTGCGTGCTCCCCCGCTGTTTCAGTCGATAGCAAGTCGGCTTTGCCGATGTCAAGTGCGTACGATAAGCTCCCTCCGCTCAAGGCACACTGCCAGCCCCACTCGGTCCGAACCCATCTTTTTCTCGGCTTCAGGAACTCGGAGATGAGTGGACCCTGAGCGCGCTTGGTTTAGTCACCAGCCAAGAGTCGCTCTCCAGATTTCAGCGTCAATTTCCGGTCGAAGGCAAACACGCATGCACGGACGCACCCTGCAGGCTCTCGTCGATAGCGATTTCCGCCAAAGTGAGCTTTCACCTCCGACTCCAAACGCTCCACCAGCAATCCACTTCGGAATTGACATGCTACCGCAAAGGCATCCTTGAAAACGGCGAGCCCAACTACAGCTTGGTGCGCCGCTTAGCTGCCGCCATGCCGAGCTCAAGCTCCTCCAACCCGCGCCGGCAAGCATCGCTCGAACCTTCCACAAGTGCGCAGCGGGATCACCCATCTGACACGCGGGATCAATCCAGGAGACATTTTCGACGCCAACTCCAAGAGCAATGCCTGCAGCCATCCGGCCTGGCTCGCGCTTCTGCTTGCGATTCGCGCGCGGAAGCCTGGCTCGAGCTGCTCGACATCTCTCCGGAGCGGATCAACAACCACAAGGACTCAGGTTCGGAAGCTGCCTCCACCGACGGCACCGTGGTATTCCCTTTATCTTCAAAGAGCGCTCCCAGCATTATCGACGATACGCTCAACGCCTCCGTGCCCCTGGACAAGGACGGCTGGCAGCTGGCCGGCAGCGCCATACTCAATCACACTGTCCCAGCAGACAGCGACGCAGGCGGCAGCGACCATCGATCCACTGTCACCGCTGCACAATTCAAAGCAACAAACTCCGAGTGGAAGGTCGTCGAGTCAAAGAGGACCAAGAGACGCAAAGGCGGCCAATTCACAACTTCTCAGTCCCCCACGGCATCGCCTGACCTCACACACTCCCCGCGCCTGAGCACTGGGCCGAGCGACACGTCAGACCCGTCAAGCCCTTTCATTTCCCCACACCTGGCAGATACATCTGTCACCGCGACGCCCCCCAGCGAAACATTGCCTCCCGCATCACCACGGCCTTACCAGCCGCGCTTCCCGAATTTATCCGAGAGAGATGTGGAGCAGGTAGCGAAGGACGTGGACCGCAGCTTCATCGGTCCTGCCTTCAAGAATGTTTTCAAGTCCCAAGCCGAGGGTCAAGAGGAGAGGTCGTTGCGCCGGAAGCAGCTCACACACCTCGTCCTTACCACCCTCTCCCGCCATCCCACACTGCACTACTTTCAAGGATACCACGACATCCTCTCGGTAGTCCTTCTGACGCTCGCCTCGACATCTCCACTGGCTTCGGCCGCGGGGCTGTTCGCGGACGACGATCAGGAGGCGCTAGTTGAGCTCGTAGCCGAACGAATCAGTCTGCACCTCATCCGCGACAGCATGACGCCCGACCTGCTTCCCGTCATGGGCCAACTCAAGGTCCTCGGCAACCTGCTGCGCTTGTGCGATCCACCACTCGCCGAGCTCGTCGACCGTGCTTCGCCGCTCCCATTTTTTGCGCTGCCCTGGCTGCTGACCCTGCTCACGCACGATGCACCCAACGTCGCCATCATGCAGCGCGTGCTTGAGTTCGTTATCGCTCACGGGCCGGCGTCGGCAATCTACGTATGCGCGGCCGTAGTCAGGTCGAGAAGAGACGAGATACTCGCCATGGATGCAGACGAGCTGGACGACCCAGCGATGCTACACGCGATTCTGAGCAGGCTTCCGCGTATCGTAGCTGATGGAGACGACCAGCGCTCCGACAAAAGCGGGGCGGCAGGCGTGGCGGAGGAAACGAGCATGTATACTGATCCGGACGTCGAGCTGCCGAGTCTAGCGAACGATCGGGCGCTCGCAGCATCGGACGAAGAAAAGGAAAACGTCAAAGACAGCGGCACATCGATCTCGTCGCTGCTGCAAGAGGCTGTACAGCTGATGCGCCGCTTCGAGCTCGACTCGGCTGACGTGGGTGCGCACACAATCATGGGGCCCAAGAGCGTGCTCTTCACGTGGTCTTCGACGTTTACGCCCCCCGGGTCTGCGCACGACATCGAGTGGGCAGAGATGAATGCTGCTGCGGAAGCTGCCCTGAGCGGGCCGACTGACGCGATCGTGCTCGACCCGCATCCGCCTCAGCCGGAAGCACCGCCCGGGAGCGACGAGAAGCCTTCGCCGCTGCCGCCGACGCACGTTGGCGCGCACCACGCACGCACGCTCGCGCTCGTCGGCATCAGCGGCATCCTCGTCGCTGCGCTCTGGACCGCCTCGCAAACCGCGCCCAACGCCGCCATGTCCAACGACCAAACCAAGCGTGTGCTCACGCTCATCGTCTCGCTCCTCTCCAACTTCGGCCGCGTCGTCGATGCCTAGCCTCGTAATCATGCGATTTACCTTCGCAATGCAGCCCAAAGTCGGCGAGTCGCCGCGCCACAGCATGCAACACGTTCGAGGCGAGTGTGGAGTTTCTTACTGTGGCATTGGTGAGGTTGTGCAAAACGGAACGAGACTAGAGTGCGAGGTAATCCTTGACTTCGGACTCGGAGAGTTTCCTGAACACGGGGATGGGGTCGCCGTGGTCTCCGTTGCCGAGTGCCTTTGTGTGGGTTGCCGAGATGACGCCGATCTCGATGGTCTTTTCGGTCATTTGGCCCTCGAAGCCCTCTTTGAGGGTGAGGAGCGCGGTGTGGATGGCATCTTCCTGCGAAATGTCGTCGTTGTATCGCTTTTCGAGGAACGTCTTTGCGTTTTGCATGTTCTTGCCGATCGCCGACGCCTTCCACATGAAGTAGCTGCCACTTGGGTCCACCTGATACAGACTTGGACCACGTGCACTGTCAAAGCCGGCTACAAGGAGAGAAACGCCGAAGGGACGAACACCTCCACGCTGCGTAGCTTGTTGCATGAGTGTGGCAATTTCCTGCACGAGCACGCGCGTGGGAGGGTACTCGCCAAACGTCTTCCAGTACGTCTGTGCCGCTTTGCGAGCCGACGAGACGAGCACGCGGAAGTCGGGTCCCATGCCAGAATACACCATGCCAATGTTGGGGCAGATGATGCTGATGCGCTCCAGCGCCGAGTCGTCCACGAGTGGCGAGGGTGCCCGCTTCTCGGTGGCAATTACGATCGCATTGGAAGCCTTGATGCCCAAAGAGGTGGCACCTTGTGACACGGCAGCAAGCGCATGCTCAATCTGCACAAGCTTGCCCGACGGCGAGAACGTCGTCAAAGAGAATCTACGCAGATACAAGAAGCAACAAAGCGTCAGTCTTGGTCCGGAAAGCCACAGTGGTCGTGCAGTGCGAGTAGACGACTTACGAGTAGGCTCGGTCACCTGCACCTGCCGACATGTTGAAGTATGCGCCGCTGCGGTCGAATTGCTCGGACAGGAACGTTGATCGGAAGCGAAGGTGTCTTCTTGCTAGGTCTACCGTGTGCGAACAGAGGTGTAGTTATCGGCGCAATGCTATGAGATGAGACGGTGGTGAGGATGAAGACCAACACCTGTAGAAGACGGCAACGACAGTGCACTGTGCAGCTTCGCAAGCTCCTGGGCCCAGCCAACGCGTCTTGCACCCTGCGCACCTCAGTCCAACCGAACACTCGATCACCTTTCCTCCACATGCGCAAGGACCAAAATTGTTACGGACGCGATCTCACAATTTCGAATTTTCGACACCGTCCATCCTCACTGCCGTCAGCACGATATCCCAGAATGCACAGGCATGAAAAGATGGTGATTCGTACAATTACACGTATCGCGGCATGGCGAACAAGAAGCAATCTGCGGTCCGGGCCTACGTCCTGCGCATGATGACGTTCTTGGAAGCCGAGCGGTTCGGGTGTCTTCGCTTCTGGCGACCGAACCTGGCCTCGTCCGAGAGCGCCTCGACACCCTTGCCCTCGGAGGCACCGGCGCCCTTGCTGAGGCCGAACCCGAACGTCTCTTCTCCCGCCGCCTTCTTGGCGCCGCTAGACTTCTTTCTCTCTTCGGGGTCTCTGCGTCCCGATGAGGGTGTCCATGTGAACTCCCTTGCACCGGCGGGCGCCTGTCCATCGTCCATAAAGTCGGCCGCACGTGGGCGGCGAGCCTGACGAGGGCCGGACGCCTTGAGCCTCTCCTCGAAGCTGCGCTTTTTGCCGCCTGCACGCCCGGATCCGTCGTCATCGTCGTCGACCAGACGCGCACCCGTGCGAGCGCCCCTCTGGCGCGCGCGCACGTCGGGCGCCTGGTTGAGGTTCTTGGGTCGCTTGCCCGATGCGTCTCGTGCACGCGGGTCGTACTGGCCAAGGTCGCCTTCGTCGGACGAGTCGCCCGAGTCACCACCCTGCCCGTCGTTGTTGTCGTCGTCCGAGGAAGATGCGTCGGACTCCATGTCGGGATCGACCGACTCGCGGTCGCTCTCGTTCTCCTCGTCCTCGACCGCAGTGAGCTTGCGCGGTCCATCGCGCGCCGTCTTGAGCGCAGTCGACGGATTGAGCATGGCAAACTCTCGGCTGGATGTGTCGATCTGGAAGTCGGGGTCCTGGAACAGCTGCGTGAAACGCGAGTCGGACAGCAGGTTGGCCGCGCCTGGTTTGTCCAAGCTCTTTGCTGCCTCGCCATCGACCTCGGGAGTCTCTGCATCGCCCTCTGCGGCAGCGGCAGCCGCCTTGGCATCGCGCTTGGCCTGCTTCTTGGCCGCAGCCTGGGCGTCGCGTGCGACCTTTTCGGCAAGCTCCTTGTTGACGCGCACGCCGGCATCGAGCTTGGGATTCTTGATGGCGCGGATGCGCGACTCGGCCTGCTTCTCGAGCTTGGCCTTGATGGCGCGTTCGCGGGCGTCCGCGTAGGCTGTGGGGTTGTTGAGCAGGCGGGCGCGCTCGTACAGCGCAAGAGACACAAAGTAGCCATGCATGTAGGGGCGCAGCAGCTGGGTGCCGATGAGGTGCGACATGCTGAGGCGCTCGAGCTCGGCGCGGTCGACGAACTTGAAGTCCTCGTAGACACCCTTGCCCGCGCCGGCGCCGCCCGTGTCGACGCCATCCATCTCGTCGGTAAGGGTGTCGATGTAGGAGCACCAGCGTGGCGCGGGGCCGAGAGCAGGCACGTACCATGCGGCCATCTGTGTGCCCTCGACTGCGGCCATCAGTAGACCGGTGCCTGGGTAGTGCGCCACGTCGTTGATGTCGGTTGCCGCCGAGGGCGGGGTGACGGAAACGAGGTTGTCGCCCGAGTCCTTGTCCCAGATCTTGATGACCTTGGCATCGGCACTGAGCACCTTGCCCTCTGCCTCGGAGCGTGTCCTTGGTCCGGAGCCGCCAGTGTTGGCGGCGGCCTTGTCGCCAGGCCACATGAGCTTCTTGATGGGGAGGCCGAATCCTTGGTCCTTGGTCTGGTATGGACGATCCATGCGCAAGTCGTACAGTAGTACATGGCCCGTATTGGTGCCGACGGCGAGGTTGAGGCCGTCTTCTGCGCCTGCGAGTGCCGTGACGGAGAGCGAGGCGAGCGCCTCCTTGGTTGCCGACATGTCGTCCGCATCGTCCAACACGCCGGGCAAGTTTCGGCGCGCGACGAGCAGCGCTGCATCGAGCACGGTCTCGGTGGCGA